CCCCAAAACCCCAAAACCCCAAAACCCCAAAACCCCAGAGGAGTGGTATGGTGTTGAGAGATTAGAGAAGGGATTGGTAAAGATGGGAGAGGAATAGTGGGTGATTGTTGAGGGGATTTTAAGGGGTGAAATTGGGGGCTATTTGATGTTATAAATGTGTTGTTTACTGTTTCACAATACCAGAGCCACATTTCCAATGATCATCTCCTCTAGTATGATCCCAAATCCACAAAAAAATGATCGAACATGCTCAAAAATCTTCTCCCCATTAAATCCTAGATGAATTCTAACCTAATTCCTTATTCTACTCCCCACAAGTCAAATTATCAAGCTTTAACCGTACTAAATACCTACCAAACCTCCTAAAAAGCCTTCAGCACCCATCATCCTGAATTAAAAAATTCAGGTCCAAGAGGGGGTAAGCTAAGATTGACGTTTCGCGAGCCAATTGTTCGAGTTTTAAACGAAGTAGGACACCCCAGAAAATATTAAAAAGCCGTAGAGAAGCTATATGTTGTAGAGAGTTGTCTTAGAATTTTTTGGTATACTTAAATTTCCTATTTGTTATGGCCCTTATGAACAAATGCTTGATGAACTTGAAGATTCTCTTACACAGTTCTTCATCCTCAGGCTTTTTAGCCTTTTCTTTCTTCTCAACCCAAGAAATTCCATCATAGCATCTGTCATTTTTGAAGTTAACTGTGAAGCCCATTTGAGTACAGAAGTCAGTTGGATTTTCATAGATGTGTTTTACTTTTGTACAAGTAGGTGAAAATTTTGAACAAAATGAGTTTTCCTCAACTCCATGGTCTTTTATTTCCATTCCACCAGCAAAGAAGTCATCTTTACAAGCTTCATACCATTCTGAACATTGATGAGGACATAAACCTTGAATGATGCCAGTGCTTACGCCTCTATCACATAAAGATCAGAAATTCATGGTAGAGATTTCAGCACATTTATTGGATATGTTAGAACTATCTACTCTAAGCTTGCTCATTTTCTTCCTGATAAACTCAGTATCCGTCTTATTACAACATGTGTTAGGAGAGTGCTCGAATCAAAAAGTTGCATTATTGCCCGTATCTTCAGGTTTTTTTAGTCCATATTCTCCCAAAATTGGGACCGAGGCAAGGCATTCATTGTGGTTAATTTCATCCTCCTGAAGTTTCTTTTCCAAATCAACCTAAAATCTTATGTTCCAAACACTTACATCTCCTGCCAACACATAGGCAAAGAAGAGAATGCAGAAAGTTATTAAAATTTTCCCCATTTCAATAAATATTATAAAATGTGGGGTTTTGGGGTTTTGGGGTTTTGGGGTTTTGGGGTTTTGGGGTTTTGGGG